CTGTAATGAGATTGAATGTCAAAGATAAATTTCTCGTCGACGTGCAAATTTATGCGCGCACGATAAATCACCGAAATAGCATCTTTCGTCGGACGCCCCGCTCTCGCGACGTTTCATCGTTATGCGCGCGCACGCGAGAGGGAGAGAGAGAGAGAGAAAGAGAGAGAGAGAACAGGCTTTTTACGTTAAATTTCAGATAGTTCATCTTAACACTCGCGCACAACGGTCGCTCGGTAAAAACAACTTGTATTATGCCCGGTGCTTATAATGCTTTACTGCTCACGAAGACGTGATAAGTTACAATGAAGAGGTACGCTCCTACTCGGAATGTTTCTTCTTTTCACATTTTCCGCGCTCCCTGGCTTCTATCCGTAACTTCCGCGCTGCAATTCATCTAGCCGTAAAGTTTCACATCCAACAGATAATGTGTTCGACGTAAGAACGCGAAGAACGACTTTGCGCAAGCGAGCGAACGAGTAAGAGAGAAAGAAGAAACGAGTGAGAGAAAGACTCGCGTTTTTCTCTCTTTCTGTACCCCCCCTCTCTCTCTCTCTCTCTCTCTCTTTCTAGATCGCTCATCTGGCGGCGATCGGAGAATATCGGTGACGGGATCGCGTATAACCGTACACGGCAAAACTCTTCCGATTTTACACACGCCGACATTCGATTCGGTTCGATTACTCGTGCTCGTTCAGTGGAATCAAATTTTAGAAGCTCATCGTCAGAGCCGACGCGCCGAGCGAGGATTTTCGCAGCAAAGTGTTAAAGCGGCGTAGGAAAGACCGGAACTTAATCTTCTGCCGCCGGTCCTTTCAGTGTATGAACGGATATAAAAAGTTTATTACTCGTAACTAGAGGAACACGCGAAAGCGTGTGAATATGCCCGGGGATGAATAACGGGAAATTACTCCCCCGTACGATCGCGATTAAACGCACTGACTTAATTACGTTATGCAAATTTCGTCAAATTTACATTGAGGCCAATCCTCAAAAAGAGCACCAAAAATGTAGGAATGATACATACGGAAGCGGCAATTTTTAAACCACACACGCGCGCGCGCGCGCGCGCAGCCACTTTCGTGAAAGAAGGCGCGCGTACATAGTCAACATGTCGAATTAACGCGCAATTTGTATGTTTACCGATGAAATTCGTTTCTCCGCATTGCGCCGTTTGCAGCGCCGGTGTATATATATATATATGCCCGGGTCGGAACTTTAGTTCCATAATTATCCCCGCAAATTCCGTCGAATTTGAAGGGTGCCGATGAAAAGTGCCGTGATAAAACATCACACGGACTACACCGTTCTACCTTGATACCACACAAATATTCGCTCATTGCGGGCCCTCTTCAAGCTCCGTGAAAGCTTGATATTTTTAGAAAGGATTTATCGCGCGCAGATTACTTAATATATTCGATTTTGTCTCAATATTCCACCTACATGAGATTTTTCGCCTCCGAATCTCAGCCAGCGATGTGTTAATTACATAACTCGCCCAACTGCAAGGCGCACGAGATGAGCGAAAATGAAAGACTACGGACAAATAAAAGGACAAACTTTCTTTATTCATGACTTTTTCATCGCTCATGAAATTCATTACTTATTATCATGACTTATTCAGTATCTTTTTCTTCCTTCATTCGCCTTGGAAATTCTCGCGGGATTTAGAAATGCAAAATAGCGGAAAAGGAGCAAGTTGTGAACCAATAATCGGATATACATGAAACCGTAATTAGTGGTCACACGATAACGACGAACTGCACGCACCGGACTCGAATATCCGACTCGCAAAGTCCGTCAAAGGTCCGCCAACATCTCGGAAACCTGCTGTATAATAAATGATTCCACCCACCTGGAAATACATGTCGTGTCGCTGCCCGCATCCTGGCCTCCTGCGTCTATGTCCTGGCTTCTCGGCCCAACATCCTCCAGTCCAGTGGCACTGACACCGACACTCGCGTGGGCACGATCCGATCGAACGTACAGATACCTACGTACACGTGTTAAATAACGCGAGCCCGGCGAAAGACTGATTAAACACTTCGAAGAGACCGGGCGAGATATTTTAATCGCCCGACGAAAGCGATCAATTAACGTTACCGACGCACGCAGCAGCTCGCGCGCGATGTGCGTGTCGCTCGCCGGCTCGAAGCATAATAAACACACTCGGGCAGGTACGAGACGCGCGAGAGCATGTTTATTCACCTTGAAGTTCCGGGACGGTTACGGGAGCGCTGATTGTTTAGATTCCGCGAGTAATTCAATGGCAACGCTCGGTCTTTTTTCGCCCGTTGTTTTCGGGGACCTTCGCACGCTTGCCCGCGCGACCGAAGGTACTGGAAGAACGGGCGAAAAAAAGCCGAGCGTCACCGTTCAACTACTACTCTACTCGCGGAATCAAAACAGCTAGCGCGCGCTCTCTCTCTCTCTCTCTCTCTCTCTCTCTCTCTCTCTCTCTCTCTCTCTGTCTCTCATAACGTCCCGATCTTAGAACGTTATACGTTTCTGTATATTTTGTCGGCTCGTGAAATGCCACGTCTCTCATATCGACATCGCATTAATTAACACGAGTTCCTCCGATCGAATCGTATCTGGGCGAATGTCAGTGCCATGAACCAGGATACGGAATGCCACAAGCAATCATGAGCAGGATGCTGGCTTGGAAAGCCAGAATGGAGGATGCGGGCAGTGATATGCCATATATATTTTCAGATGTATATATATATATATATATAGATATATATTTTATATATATTTGCGCCAATGAGAAAAACAATAGATATGGATTATGGGAGAACAGAAATTATGGTTTTGTTTGTCCATTAATTATTCTTGCCCATTAATTTTCGGTAAATTATTCGATATTTATTCATCGTACATATTTTATCCGTAATTGAGCAAGTTATACAAGTGCACTGTTTATCGAAATTAACGTAAAAATCAAACGCCAGCAGAATATTGAGATAATCGCTTATTCCGTTCTGATAATGTGACCCGATGCATATTCCAAGAGGATCTCTCGAGAATCTCTCTCTTGCCGGAGGTCCGTCCGAGAGAGGGAAACCGCGCGGCCAGCGCGTGTTGTGCACGCTAGAAAACATTTTATACCGTGACGGGGGTCTATATTCCGGCGCGAGCATTACAATTACATAATTTGCATGATGTTTCGATACTCATAAACAACGTCGGCGTTTTTGCATTTTAAATACGACCGGATCCGAAATGTCGCGTTGGATACGTCGTTTCACATCGCACGGCGGATATCGGATGACGCGGCGGCAGTTGAAGAACGCCTCTGCATTTCGATCGGCGTTATTAATGTCGACTTTGCGCTAATTAACGAGATATCAGACATACCGAGTATCGAAAGAACGCGAGGAAACACGATCGGCCAAACGGCCGATTTCAGCTTTCTTCGGAGAGCGTTACGACTCCCATTTCCTCAGCGAAAATGAAATCCGCACAACGCTCCGAACCAAAGAGACGCGAACTTCCGAGTCACCCGGTATATGTCGGCCGCCGTGCCCGTATCGGTACGCCGACTAATATGAACGAGTGTTTAGCGTGCGATCGAGCCGTGCGAGCGAGTATTTAACATGCGATGTTTCTGTCGCGTCCGCGTTGCCTGACCGCGATCAACGGCCTCGGATGTACACGATACACCCGACATTTATCAGCCTCGTCTTATCAGCGCTAAACCGAGCACGCTTCCCGTATCCAGACAGACAACGGCGAGTTGACTGACGCAAAAACGAAACTGGAACGATAACGAGCCGCGTTAACGCGATCTTTCCTCCTCTTTCTCCTTCCCCCCCCCTCTCTCTCTCTCTCTCTCTCTCTCTCTCTGCTATCGCTGCAAAGAGTCGCATTCGTCAGGTCGATCAACGCGGGGCCGGAGCCGCATGGACACGCGAGAGGCGATTGCCTCATGTCGCGACTGGGCGTCGCGAAGCTCCGTTTCTCGATCAGAGCTCCCGAGATCCCCGGAGGCAATTGAAAATTAATCCCTCCAAAAGAGAAGACGACGACGGGAGGATCCGCGCTGACATCTTGCAGGCGCTATCTTTTTCGCGAGACGAGCGCCGAAGCTCGGTGAATAATGTGAAGACGCCACGTTAAATAGTAATTTCTAGTACGGGTAGCGATAATCTCCGCTGGACACCGGAGGACACCGCCTCCGGCGGAGTCTCCATCCAATCTGTCTCGTTAGATCAACTTCCCCGACTGTCCCGTCGCCCCAATCCGTCCGACATGATCGACACCCCGCGGTCCGACGCCGACGGTGCAGCGCCGTAACATCGTTCGTAACGGAGCATCTAATCTCATCATCGATGAACCGGCTCGAATGAATGTCAATACGCGATTCGACGCGCGGAACGAGCGCGCGCCGCAAGCAAGCCGACCTCGCGGCAATCTCGCGGAGTGCAAAGGCACTCGAGGAGCTCCGCGGCGGCTGGGAAACGTCGCTCACTCCGACAGGAAATCTCGCTCGGTCTTTCGCTCGGCTTAAAGGGAATAAATTTTCCCCAGCAGGATTCCGGGATGACTGCGCGCCACGGAAGTTCCTCGAGCGATCCCTCGAACAACGGCCCTACCAGAAGTGCTATGTAAGATCCGATCGACGACAATCATCGTCACAAGCATTGACTAAGTTCCCTGCCTCCTGCTGAAGGCTCTGTCCGTCGGAGGAAGCTACTCCGCAAAGCAGCTTCACCTACCGAGCGCAACCGTTACTCCTGTATATTTCCCCCTTGCGACAGAGAGAAGTCACACACGTATGGCTTCACCCTCGAATCTCCGTCCCGACTGACACCCCCACCCTCCCCCACTTCCTGGCCGGATCCGACGTAAAAATGTTATCGGGATTATAACATTACTGAAAATGGTGAAACGCGATCCAGAGACTCCAATTTCCCGCTGACATCGCGAGGGTCGAGAATTCCCTTCGGAGCGACGCTCTCGGCTCCATCCCTATCGAGAAGACTGGATCCAGTACTCACCTGTCCATGATTGTCGAAGCCTCGCTTCTGGGCGATCTCGTCCGCAGCTTCCGGCCCGCTAGGCACGTAAACAGCAAACTGATTCGAGTAGATGGCCGCTGGTCGCGATCGCGGCCTGGGCTCGGATCTCGCGCCGGCCAACAGCAACGCGCACACCAACAATGTCACTCGGAGGATCATGTCGCGGAGGACGCGAGCGCACGACGAGTCTCTCGCTTCTTCTCACTTGCTTCTTGCTGTGCTCCCGGGCGACGACTTCGGCCGGCTCGCGTACGCACGCACGCACGTTCGTTCGTTCGCAAGTCGCGCTACCTGAGCTCGCGACGAGAACGCGGGGCGACTGCTCTCGGACGATCCTCGGGCTCGCGAGTCTCACATCGGAGCCAACGCGCGAGCTTCGGTCGACGGATGGACGCGACGTCGTTTTCGCACGACCGGTCGAGTCGAGCGCCGCGGGTCGCGGCTCGCGAGAAACCGTGCACTGCGCCTCGCGAATTTCACTCGTCGTCGTCGTGGTCTTCGTCGTCGTCGTCGTCGTCGTCGTCGTCGTCGTCGTCGTCGTCCTCGTCGTCGTCGTCGTCGTCGTCGTCGTGGTTGTCGTCGTCGTCGTCGTCGTCGTCGTCAACGACGAAACGCCGCAGCTACCGAGTGAGACGGGCGGACGACGATGGCGGCGGGCCGGGCGCTCCTCGCTTCTTGTCTTATCCTGCAACACAAAGAGGAGGAAAACCACAGGTTATAGCCGGTGTGCATTCGTGTCACGTGCGCCGAGTCGGAAGGACGCGGCGGGAATTCTTGCGGCGGTCGCGTTGCGATATTAATTGTCACCGAGCGGGGGACACGGAGAGCGGCAACGGAGGGGAGCTGGTTTTTCCTGCTTCTTGACGTGCGCCGTGGATTTGCATTACAATGTTTCGCCATGAGCGCGAATGTTTGTAAACTTCCTTCCTCTTCCTCTTCCTCGCGCCTATCCTTTCTCTCGTTTTGCGGAGGCGAGGCAGGTGCGGAGGTGAGGAGAGAAGGAGAGAAAAGGAGGAGAGGAGGCGGTAGCGAAGATTAGCGAGGCGAGTCGTTTGACAACCGATGTGTCTTGATTCGCGCGCGGCCGGTCGATCGATCGTTCAATTTCGACGGATAGATTTCGACGATTATTCGTCAACGTTCGGCGCGTTAACGAGACCGCGACGGATAAACAAACGGTTAACGCGGACGGAAAATCGCGGGAATGGAATGATTCACGGTGATAGGGGAGCCACATCGCGTCCGCGAGTCATGACGGAATATAATTAAACTTGCGTGGGCGCGCGCGGCGCAGCGTAATCCACGGTTAATCGTCTAACGAACAGCATCACAATGACGGATCCCGGCCGTCCATTTTCCCGCATTAACGGATAATTAATAAAGTTCGATGTCTATTTAGCTAACTTGTTTGACTGGACACAGCCGGGCGAGAGCGGCAGGTCGGCTTACGAGGGGGGTGAGGATGGGGCAGGAGAGGAGAGACGAGACCGAGAGCGGGGCGCTCTTCCTTGCGAGAAGTTGGCGGGATTATAAAGGTGAAGGAAAGTTTGATGGCCGCGCGCGATACTCTCGCTCGCTCGCGCGCGCGACGAAATAATGATCTAAAAATCATTTCCCGCAAAGTCCGGCGAATCAGCCGCGGCGGGATCAGCCGTTACGCGATCGAATTGAGTCCGCCGACGGGGATAAAGAGGAATTCGAGTGGAACTCGCTGAAACGTGGCGAAAGCTTTCGATGATCAAATTTCGATTGTGAACTATGCGACGTGTATATCTATATATAGCCGTTGCGCGCTGAAGTTCAGTAAGTAACTGGTAGACTGGTGCAAAAGGAGAAGTCCGTTTCCACGGCAGTGTCGATAGTTACCGGGCGAAACGAGCGAAAGGCCGAACACGAGTTGAGTTTGAAGTTAATCGGGCTCTCTCACGAAACCGTTACCGCTCTTAATGAGTCGGGAAATAGACTAAAATACCTAACAGATATGATGATTTATGCGCGTTCTAATTAAAGACACATAAGGCGCTTCTGGAATTGTTGTAAATAAATAAGAGACGCGCGGCCCCGGGGGGAGCGCCCGGTCTAATTAGCGAAATAGCGAGCACGCGGGAGATTTCACTACGCGGCAAATAAATTACCTCATAGGAACTCGGCAACATTATGACAGCCGCGCTCGTCTTATCACGCATTAATCGCGCAAAATTCCCAGGCTGCGGGGGCTCCTTTTAATTTCGCCCCGTTTCACGCGTTGTTGCGTTTACACTTACTCGCAACAAGTGGTTACGATCGTAAGAGCAGATTGCCATTTTTTACAGATGCGACGATTTTGTTCGTTCGTTCGTTCGTTCGTCTGTTGCTCCGTTCGCAACGGCCCTCCTCCGCTCCGCGCGTCTCGCGCGGCGGATTAATCCGACAGCCGTTGCTGAATCCGCGAATCAAATAAAAACTCCCGGAATCGCTCGTGTTTTAAATTCGTTTGGGAAAGTTCGCGAGAGAACGGCGGGCGCATGGGCCGGAAATGCGCGCCAGGTCGGCGGCCAACGTCGAGAAAAAGACGAACCCGCAGAGTATCCCGAATTAGTTTCTTTACGGAACTGATCTCCCGGGAAACATCCGCTTGTGCGGAGTAATTCCGTGGCCGCGCTTCCTCGCGCGCGCTATAGCGACGGTACGCGCGCATTATCGCGTCTTCTGCCATCTTATCGTCCGTAAGTGTCTCGTTCGCCGCTCGAAGAGCAGTGTAGACGCGCGCGCGCGCGCGCGCACACACACACGACAGACGCAAGCGAGCACGAAGTATTCGCGTTTACGCTCGCCGTACGTTCGTTCGTTCGTTCGTTCACGTGAGCTCATTAAAGCCCGAACGTAAAATGAGACGGTCCTTTGACGCGAGCCGCGCGTCCGACATCTTGCTTTGATAATAAATGAAACGCTACCGGAATCCGGCAAACGCTCACAACGCGCACCGACGACAGATCGGGACTTGAAATTAAACGTTTCATCCGGAGGATATTAGAGAGATTACGAGCCAGCTTGTTTAATGTATGAATTTTCGGAACCCGAAGCGCGCACGATGGCGCATTCCCCGCAATATTCTCCCGTCGTCGTGGTGACGCGTCGCGCGTCGAGGCAAAAACATTGTAATTCGCAACAACGTGATAAAATTCGTCGCGCTAACGCGACGCACTCCGACTCGCGAAATACCCGAATGGATAAATGTCAAATGAATGCATTACCCGACACTGCACACAAATCTAAATAGATAATATAAATAAAAGCGCCCGGCCGAACGCGCGAGAGCGTTGGCTGTGCATACGCGTGAGCGGGTGAGGGGGGAGGGTCGAAGGGAGGGGGGTTAAACCGATTGAGAGAGGAAACCGTGCCGTTCTCGTTGCGAAATTGGCATTTTTTCGGGCATTCTCTCGCGAATTTCGAGAGAGAGAGAGAGAGAGAGAGAGAGAGAGAGAGAGAGAGAGCGAAAGAGAGAGAGAGAGAGAGAGAGAGAGAGAGAGAGCTCGATGAATCGGCAAAAGAGCGACGCGCGAGCGCGAGGGAGAAAAATCTATCAACTCTGATAATATGTATGGAATTAATTTCGCACATTACAAATTTGCGCGTTACGAGAGGAATGAAGGGGGATAATATCGAAAAGAGATTGAATTACGAGGCCGTTTGCTCGACGCGATGCTTGGCTGCTAATTAGCGGCATTGCATACGTCGAAAGCGTGAAAAATGCGCCCTCGGCACGTGCGCGCGGCACTCTTGTCGGATAATTTTATCCTCGCGCGATTAGCAAATTATTTACTCGTAACGATCAATCTACCGCTGGCTCTCGTAAGCCCGATGATATTCCGCGTAATTGGAAATCTAAAGAGCCTTGGGACAATCAATTCGCAATGTTCATCAAGTACTGCAAATCATTCGCTTAACAGTGTAATTTGTTTGTCATTATGCATCTCCGCCGACGTATCGGCGTGACATTCAAGCGTTCCTAGAAACGATCCGTCGAAAAACGATCTCGAGTCTCGAGAGACGCGAGCGTGACGTTCGAATAACGAGTAGCTGCACGAGTTCAGCTTCGATGGCGTCAAGAAGAGGCTGTCGCGTCTTTAGCGAGACGTCGCCTCAACGCCCGAGTGTCTTCGACGTCACGTGCTATTTAAATTACTATCTGCAAAATAGACAGAGCCGTGCGCGCTCGGCAATTTCGCGAGTTCACTTAGAGGGACGATCCACGAAGGAACAAACGAGCGAGCGGACGGACGAGCGAAGAACCGGCGTCGCGAAGAATATAAACTCGTCTCGAGACGAAACTTGGGGCGCTCCACGGCTGCGTTAATGACCGCAGAAGTTAAATCCCCCCGGGTGAATACGGCTCGGCAATAAAGCGTTTCTGGCTAGGCAGCTGCGTTTGCCGCGAGAAATACGGTCAGCGAGACCGACGCGAATTCTCGCCCCGAGAACAGGATCGCTCAGCTGTTAACGCTTCCGCATCACCCCATTCCGCGTGTACGCGATGTTAACAACTTACGGGAGAATATTTAACCCTGCAGCGGACGCACCGCAGAAACACGTCGCATCAGCGCGCACGTGGCGCGCGCTCGCGTACCGCAGGGACGCCGACGGGGGCGCCGCGTATGCACCCCCCGCGGCCCGGTGCGCAGCGAAGGTTAACACAACGTGCGGAAAAGAGGTTATCCTAATTAGCGCGAGATCTCGCAGTAGCGCGGAAACTCACAGTGGCGGAAGTAAAGAGTACATAACAAAAAGCAAGAGGGAGCAGCAAGAAGGTACTCGCGCGCTACTCACGGACGGGACGGGACGGGACGTGAGCCCGTGCTACGTCGAGGGGGGAATTAATTAAAGAATTACACAAATTCGCACGGCACGGCACACGATCCAGGTCGCAGTTGGCAATGAATTCCCGAGCTTAACGAAGTCTCTCCCGATTGCCGGACTGCAACAATCGCTCGGGAGTTGAAAGAGAGACCGCCGCCGCCACCGCCGGCGCCGCTCGCGTCCTACAGATCTTCCGTCCCGGACAAGTTGGACGACGATGTCGTCCCGGCCGTTTCCCAGCAATTAAACGTTTCCGTATTCCCGCGGTGTGCACGAACGAATTCTCAAGTCGTTCGTAGCGAGAGAGAAATATAAGAAAGTGAGACGCACACGAAGAACGGAGAGACTGGCGATTCCCCTCCGGCGACAATATCGAAGAGAGTCAAAACTCTCTTTTGCTCCTCTTTCACCCTCAAACATGATTTTCTGCCGTCTCCCCTCCCCTCCCACTCCCCTCACCCCGGTCTTGTTTCGGGAATGAGAAACGAACCACGAGAGATCGTAATACCGCACGTACGCCCGTATGGGATAAGAGTAACAGAGAGACTGAAACCGCGATACGAATGGCAAGTACAATACATGCACGATCGGCCGCCGTTCGACATCGCGAATGTGCGTGAATAAGCTGCGTTACGTGAGTGCGTGCGTGCGTGCCTCTTTCGCGGGAGGTCTCGCACACGTGCCATGTTCGCCCGTATCGCCGATAGAATTATCGATGACGCTGCGGGTCGAGTGGCGAGCAAAGCGCCAGGAGAAAAAGGATGAGCGACGTAAGAGAGCGCTGTAATTGATAGATTCGCTCGCGAAGGAGAGAGGGAGGAACTTCCCGGCCGCGGAAGTTACATGAAT